GGCGGGAGCAGGCTGACCCACCTGCGGCCTCTTGATGCGCGTGTAGGAAAGCAGCGCCTCCACGTAGGGCTGCTGCAGCGCCTCCACGCGGCCCGGCTCCTGCACGTTGGGGCGGTCGGCGGAGAAGATGTTGATGGCTATGAGCAGGGCATACTCGGCGTCGTCCAGGCCCAGCCGCCGCATGGCCCGCGAGAACTCGAAGATGGGGTTGATGAACTCCACCTGCAGGCCTGGGAAGCCACGGGGAGCTAGGAGTCAGCTTCCCCTGCCGGCGCCCGACCTGCTCATCCTCCCGGCCCTGTGTTCCAGACCTGCGGGCGGCGCCCAAACTGCGCTCCCACCGTCCTCACGCCCTGGCCTTGCAGGCAGCACCTCCCCAGTCCAGGGGACCCCGATGGGGCTTAGGTTGGGTCGCCTGCGTGTGCCTGGCCCGGGCCTCGCACTGCTCTGAGTGGAGCTCACTCCGACTCACTCATCAAACACTGAGGCACCTCTGGTGCCACAGGGCAGGCCCAGCTTGTAGAGGCTCGGGCGTGAAGCAGATGACAAGGCCACCAGGGAGTAGCCAGCCTGTCAGAGGGCAAGGAACAGCATGGCAGTGGGGCCACGGAGGCCTGTTTTGCAGGGCCCAGACCATGGGCAGGAAGTGACCAGTCGCAAGCTGCCCCAGTGGCCCTACTGCAGGGTTACACAGACCACGAGACTTTCAGCCTTCAAATGGAAGCTCCTGGGCATGCCAGAGGACAGGGCCACCCTCGTCCCAGGTGAGGGAACAGTAAGTAGAGAGACCCCGGAAGCACGCTTGACGGTTCAAATGCAAGTGAGAAGGCCAGTGCTCAAGGGGAACGAGGCAGGCACTGAGGGCAGAGAAGGAACAAGGCCAAGCCTTTGTGGGCCGCGGTGAGGCCTGGCTCTGCTCCCGGGACCATGGGAGCGACAGAAAGTCCTAGCAGAGAGGCACCCACTGACATGACTGCTGACAGCACCCCTTGGATGGCTGTGGGAAGAGGTGCTGGAGGGGCACTGGGTAGCAGTGGAGGAAGTGGGAAAGGGTGGGATTCCCAGCCCCTCTCCAGCCCCTCTCCAGCCCCTCTCCAGCCCCATGTCCTCCCTGGGCTTCTCGTGGTTCTGTAAAACCCTCCAGCTGCTCCCCATGCCGGGCCTTTGCCTACGCCAGAGCTCTCCCCAGAGTCCCCCTGTGAGCTCAGGAGAGGGTCCACAGGGGGCCCATTCCGGTGGGGGACGAAGGCAGGGCGAGGAGGACATGCCGGAGGGGAAGCAGAGTGTGCCCAGAGCCCAGCTGCACTACAGCACCGTGGCAGCTGGCCCGGTCCCTGCGTCACCTGCCCAGCTAAGGGGACCCGCCCAGAGGGGGAGGCCATGGCTTCTAGAATGACGCTGCTCTGGCTCTCAGGTTGGCTCCACCGGGAGGAGGTAGCTGAGGTCCGGGAACCAGCACACCCTCTCTGGACCCCGGCCCAGTGACCTGCACGGTGGAAGTCGTCCTTGCTGTAGGTGAAGTCCTTCAGGAAGGTGATGCACTCCGTCTCATGGTTGTAGCGCCGGGCCGTCTCCAGCAGCATGATCTGGGGACAGCACAGTGGTCCGCCCCAGCAGCAGTCAGGGCCACACTCTGGCTTGCTGTTTGGCCTGTTCACTGCCCTAGGCGGAGACTTGGAGGGAGCCTTGCATGCAGCAGGCACTGAATATGTAGTATGTATTCACTGGCTCAGCGGTCACACCCGAGTTCTGAAGTAGCCCCTCTGCCCCATCCTCCACTGCTCTCAGCCTCTTCCCCTTTCTCCTTGGCCCCGGGAGGGCGACTCTGACCGTCCTGGTCAGTCTGGCTGCTCCCCTGGAATGTCCCCTCCAGGGTAACAGCTGCTCTCGCCCCTCACTCTGCTGCCACCCTCTGTCTCACTGCAATCTCAGGCGTTCCTGTGGGCAGAGGGGAGGGCGGCCCGGCGGTTACCTCGATGGTGGACGCCTTCAGGAGGGCGATTTGGTCCTCGCGGCCCAGCTGCAGGAAGCCAGGCACCTGCTTGGCGAAGTCCACGATCTCCTGGACCGAGATGATGGCCAGCTCCGTGAAGTGGGCGAAGCGCTGCTGGCGGGCATCGCGGGACTGCGGGTCTGCACCCAGGGGCCAGGGCTGGGACACAGAAGGCCGGGCTCGATGGTGGACGCCTTCAGGAGGGCGATTTGGTCCTCGCGGCCCAGCTGCAGGAAGCCAGGCACCTGCTTGGCGAAGTCCACGATCTCCTGGACCGAGATGATGGCCAGCTCCGTGAAGTGGGCGAAGCGCTGCTGGCGGGCATCGCGGGACTGCGGGTCTGCACCCAGGGGCCAGGGCTGGGACACAGAAGGCCGGGGGCCGCGGCCGGCC